TACAAGGAGTTAGAAGCCTTTGTTTAAAGGTATTGGTGAGTTTTATCTAGCAAACTACGGGTAACAGCCACTATTTACTAAACAATCTAAAACAATGGGTGGGTATACATTTACAACAAAAAGCACAAGATTTACACCCATATAGCCTAAAATGTGAGTTAACCCATTACATGGATAAATGTATTCTACCCATAATTACTATTTTGATCTTGCCTATTTCAAAGAACAGTTAATTTAATTATCAATGTTCTTTAAAATATCATTAGGGCTCTTTTGTTCTCATTAATATTAGAAAAAGAACTGATAGCAGCAGACAGATTGAAAACTCTAAAAGAAGGTTGCTTTCGGTAAAAGAACCAGTGCAGATTTTGGAATTTCATTCATGGAATGCACTGGAAGAGCCGGTTCTGCTTTGCCTCCAGTACTGACAGTGTGACAAGGCCTTCACAGTGTTGCCCCCTCTGCTGCTTATACGGGTGTGACCAGGCACATTTTCTATGTTCTCTAGCTTCATTTTCTCATTTAGAAGTCATATTTTACAGCAACACTTGTCTACAGCAGTAGTTTGAGGGTTAAATGACTTAACACATTTAAAGTTCTTTGAAATTAAACTTTTTTAGTACTGCCCTGATGAATGAACCCAGGGCCTGAGCTTCATCCCACCACTTAATTTATTTTACTCTTTATTTGGAAAGAGGGTCTAAGTCACTGAATTGGCCAGGCTGGGTTTGAACTGCAAGTTTAGCTCTGAGGATTTCCTCATTATGATGCCTTGTAGCTTTACTAGACATTGCTATTTATTATTACCAACTAAGAGGGGCACTTTTCATGTATCAGTTACAGTATTAGTAAATAAGGACTGGGGAGATAGCGTGGCTGTCTAAGCACCTGCCTGGCAAGCACAAGGATCCATGTTCGATCCCAGGTAATACATGTTGTACTGGGCCAAAATTGGGCTTGATGGCACACTCTTGCAATCCCAGCGCTGGGGAGGCTGAGAGAGGAGGATCACTATGAGTCCAATTTACATAGCAAGACCCTTTATCAAATAAAAAAATAAATGTTAGATAAATTAATATTTTAAAAAAATTAAATATAGATTTTTCTAGAGAAAGAAATCATCGCAGAGACAATACTTCTTTGGATTTCTACCTCCCTGCAGTTCACACACCTTCAGCTCCCACTTCTATCTGCAGACCTAGGCCACAAGACTGCAAAGTTGGTACAGAGGGGAGCCCTGGCCACTGCTGGAGGCCACAGTAGAAAGGCTAACACCCTGGGCCTGAGAGTGAAGGTTGGGTTAAAGTGCTTCTTTGTATTATCGTCCTCTCCTTTGATAACTATGAAAAATCAACATTTTATAAAAAAGATTCTGAGTCTTAGAGACAATGCTTAAATGAGCTTCTCTTGGGGACCCTGAAAAACATGAACATTTTTGCTGAAGATGTTTTCTACTAAAGACTTTATTTCTTTGTTTTTTGTTTGTGGCACCTGAGTGGGTCTGGAAGCCATGTCCTGGTAGATTTTAATTTTGAGACCAGTTCTTGCTGTTGTTGAATTTACCTCAGCCTCTCTGAGTTTGGGGATTACTTCTGCAATATATCAGATTCAGTGACTTTTATTTCTGATCACTGAATTAAAAATGATTAAAAGAAACTCACTCTATATGGAGAACTA